AATGCCCTATAGACCTGGCTACAGACAAATCTTGTGGAGGTTTTTCTCAACTGAGGCTCCCTCCTCTTGGCTGACTCTAGCTTGGGTCAAGTTGACACGAAAATCAGCCAGTACATACTGTAAACCTACCCCAAAGTCCACAGCTCAGGAAGGAAGGCCCTAGTGAGGCACCTACCGTTTTGCTAAGTGACATGGCAAACTATCTTCTAAATATCTGCACTTATAGACGAGAGCTGCTCTTGGCCTCACCCAGGGAAGCTCCCCTGTGCAGTCATCAGCAGAGATGCGAAACTGGTCCAAACCCTCGAATAAGTGACAACTGCTTGCTCAGTCCTAAATGGCACATCCTTATCTACCTCCTCACCACGGCGCAGGGAGCATCCTGGAAGAGGGCAAAAGGAATGAACACCTGGAGGACGGGGAGGAGCACAGTGAGATGACCTGGAGGATGAGGATGGGGAGGAGCGCAGTGAGATGACCTGGAGGACGGGGAGGAGCACAGTGAGATGACCTGGAGGACGGGGAGGAGCACAGTGAGATGACCTGGAGGACGGGGAGGAGCACAGTGAGATGACCTGGAGGACGGGGAGGAGCGCAGTGAGATGACCTGGAGGATGAGGATGGGGAGGAGCGCAGTGAGATGACCTGGAGGACGGGGAGGAGCACAGTGAGATGACCTGGAGGACGGGGAGGAGCGCAGTGAGATGACCTGGCCATTTCACTTCTGAGCTGACTGTAGCTATGGTCACTTCCACGAGGTCAAGCCAACAACATCAGTCATGCCAGCAGGCAACACTGATGGGACTCAGGGTTACAAAGAAGTAAAAAAAGAAAGGATAGGAAGGAGTGGAGGGGAATATGTTGGGGTGTCTTGGGAGTAGATGATAAGTATATATTCTCCTGGGCTGTGGTGGCGCATGCCTTTAATCCCAGCACTTGGGAGGCTGAGGCATGTGGATCTCAGTTAGTTTGAGGCCAGCCTGGTGTACAGAACTAGTTCCAGGACAGCTAGGGCTGTTACACAGAGAAATCCTGTCTTGAAAAACCAAAAAAGATACATTTTGTACATGTATGAAATTATCAAAGAATAAATAATGGGCTGGAGCGATGGTTAAGAGACAGACTGCTCTTGCAGAGGAGCTGGATTTGGTACCCAGAACCCACATGGCAGCTCAACCGTCTGTATCTCCAGTTCCAGGGTCTACTACCTTCTTCTGGCCTCCACAGACACTGCACACACATGGTACACAGACCTATATGCAGCCAAGACATCTGTACACATAACATAAAATTCTTAAAACAGGAGTCTTTTAAGCTACTGTAAAGATTCCACTCCCCAAGACATTGTGATGTCAGCAGAAGCACCCAGAGTTCAAGGATACAGAGCAGAGAGCCCGGAGACACACCCATGGATGTTATACGCCTCTGCTCGAGAACCAAGGCGATACAGTGCAGTAAGGGCAAACTTGTCATCAGTGGCGTGACAGCAGCTGCATGTCCATTTGCAGAGAGGGATCCAGACACAGAACCCGTGTCCTTCAAGGGACATCATGTCAAGTGCCTGATGACCCACAGTCTGTGTCAAGGTGTAAAGAGAGAACCACAGAGCTGTCCTTTGACCCCGTGTGTGCATGCACGCGCCCCCACAGTAATAGTAAGAGACGGCTTGAGTGTGGTTCCCAGCACCCACATCCGGCAGCTCTCAACCACCTGCAATTCCAGCTCCATGTGGATCCGGTGCTTCTGGACTCTGGGGGCACCTGCATGCATGTGCACACGCCCATACACAGACACACGTGTGATTATTGGTATGTGTGGTCACAGGAGACTCAAGCCAGTGCTGCCCAACTGTACATACGACCCCAGCACTTCCTGTGAAGTATTCTGCTGCTGTTCTCCTTAGTGGCTGAACCTGGACTAGGGCAGGGACATGGGGGCACTGTTTGCATGGATGAGTGGGCACTCTAAAGAGACAAATGGACCCTACTGACCCTGCAAACTACAAACCATGAAATTCACTCAGGTGAAGCCGGGGTGTGGTGGCTGTCTGGACAGAGGGCAGGCAGAGCAACATCTAACTTTGAGATGAGTAAACAGGCCCCGTTGTGGATGGTAGGAGCTTCTAGAGACAGCTGTGAAACTTTAAACATTTTCTTGGCAGGCTGGTTCAGGGCCAGGGACCAGTGCCTGCAGAGGAAGTGGGTCCTTACACTCCTGCTCTTTGGACAAAGGCTGGGCTTCCTGTGGCCCAGTGACCTTGCATCTGAAGGGTACGCTGTTGGGGATTGGGCTGTCCCTTTAGGAACAACAAGTCCAGTTCCATATGTACCACTTGAAAGCTGTGTGACCTTGGAGGAGCCACTCCAAGTGACCCCTCTGCCACTCACTTTCCTGTGACAAGAATGGAAACTGAAAAGATTAAATCACACATAGGCAACATTGAAAATGTTAGTCATGCTCCTTTGTTCGTGTTTAGGTGCACATGCGTGTGTGTGTGTGTGTGTGTGTGTGTGTGTGTGTGTGTGTGTGTGTAGGTCAGAGGTCAACCTGTGGATCTAAACCCCTTTAGGGGGTTGAATGATCTTTTCAGAGGGGTCGCCTAAGACCATTGGAAAACACAGATATTTAAAATTCATAACAGTAGCAAAATTACAGTTATGAAGTAGCAATGAAAATAATTTCATGGTTTGGGGTCACCACAACATGAGGAACTGTATTAAAGGGTTGCAGTGTTAGGAAGGCTGAGAACCTCTGGCTGGAGAGATGCAGCCATGCCGGATAGATACCTCAGGATTGTGAAGATGCAGAGCCTGAGCTACCGTCTGAGCCCCTTGCAGGAGAGGGGTTCTAACTGATTCTCTCACTGGAGCTGGACCTCATCAGTTCTTGACTTCTGGACTTCCGGCCACCAGAATCATGAGAGAATGTCTGCTGTTTTAAGCCAATCAGTTTATGGTAGATAGTTATGGTGGCCCAGGCAGGGAGTTTGGTTGCAGCTGGACACACTGGGTCACACTCACACGCATACCTTGCACACTCACACTGAGGAAGAGTCTCAGCTCCTGGTCAGCCAGTGTGCAAACCGATCAAGCTGTCGCCATACTGTCTGTCCAGAGACCCAGGGCTGTCTATAGCTCCCTATGGTTCTAGGGAGGGCACCTGGACGTTGGTAGTGGGGGCCTTGGATCTCCAAACTGGCTGATGATCATAGTCGGGTGGGAAGGACAGGCCCCAAGTCACAGGTTGTGAAGGCTACCCTCTCCTCCTGGCATCCAGGGCCTCTGTGGCAGTCACAGGTAGGACAGGGCTTGGCTTGCCACGGAAAAAGGAACCTGGGACGTGCTGTGTGTGGGACGCGGATGTGTGTGGGCGAACGTCTGTGTGAGGGGTGTATGCAAGAGCACTGTGGTTGGTGGGAGAAGCTTCTGGATGCAGAGTTTGAAAGTGAGTAAGTGTGAACAGGTGGGGTTAGGCTGTGTCTGTACATGCTCGAGTGTGTCCGTCCACGTACGCTGGCATCAAATGTGTGACCTCCTCGGGGTCACCTGCGGTGGGAGGGCACGAGAGCATTCACAGAGCCCACCCCTGGGTTCAGATCCCATATAGCTCCTGAGTGGATGCGTGGGCCGGGACTGCATCACGGAGCGTCAGCTTCACGGTGACAGGCTGGCAGGCACCTTGCGATGTTTGCTCTAGGGGTGGGAGTTGAGAAACTGGGTGACAGAGTAAGAGCTTTGCTCCTCCCCTGCACATTCCAAGCTGAGAGGGTTCAGGAAGGGTTCACTGAATCTGGAGCTCATCGGCTCTTGATTTCTGAACTTCCGGCCACTTTTCTACTTCTGAACGTCTCAACCTCTGAAGAGGGTTCACTGACCCGTTCCAGGCGACTTCCTTCCTTTTTAGGCACCTTGGCTATTCCTGAGTGACCTGGCTCTGCAGACCTGCTCTGAGCTGCCCCCTAAGTGCGCAGCGTTGTCTCTCCCTGGAAGACGTCAACACAAAGTCTTGAACTTGACCCAGGGCGAGGGGCATGCCGGCGACCGACTGAGCCCACCTTCCCGCCCACACTGTGTTCTGTCTGAGAGCCGACGGAGAGATTTCGCGGAGACACTCTCAGAGGGACCACCCGGAGAGCAGGGATCAGTAGTGACTGCCAAACCCGAGTTTAGCCGCACAGAGGGAGCCGCGGTCGAGCCTCAGACTCCCTAACAGTCCTGTCTAGAGCGCTGCGTCAGGTGGCTCCGCAAAGAAATTTCTAATAGGAATTAAATCAAGGCTCTGACTCCCGCACTGCGTGCGTCCTGTGACTGTCCCAGCTCATCCCTCTGTAAAGCGGGGCCACTCGTCCGTACCCTGTGCTGGGGACACCCCCGCCTCGCTCGGGAAGCATCGTTCTGAACCCCGCAGACCCGCTCCTGCCCTGCCTTCGTCCTTCTCTGCAGTTGGGTATTTACAGCGGCCCCTCAGTTACCGGCGCCACGCCCCTGGCGGGGCACGCACCCGGAAGTGCCGCTACGGAAGCTGGCGCGGCCGCTTCACCATGGCGACGGCCGCCCCGCGGCGCTTCTGTCGCTGCGCCTGCTTCTGCTCTCAGAACCTGTACGTGGCGCGCTACAGGCTGCACCTGCGCTTCCGGGACGAGCAGCAGCTGCGCCGTGACTACGGTCCGGTGAGTAGGGGACAGCGAATGCTGGAGGGACCCGGCACCAGGCCTGGCTTTGCCCGAGGTGCAAACCGCGTCTGCACACTTGGCCTCTGGCTGCAGCATGGCCGCTCCCCAGTAAGACGAGAACACGCGTGCGGAGTGCGCTGGACAGAAGTTTACACGGACCTCGATGATCCCGTCACTCTCATCTCCGTGACAGGGGTGGGGGGCGCTGAGGCTCAGAGATGCTTATTGACAGAGTCACGCAGTCCTGCTCACTTTCTGTTCGCAGCTCCTGCGCAGCCGCGGCTGCGTCAGTTCCAAGGACTTCCAGCAACTCTTGGAGGAGGTAACGGCCCCCGCCAGCCCTCCCCTGGAGCCCTTCACTCAGAAGGACTTCTGAGTCCTCTTTTCCCAGTTCCTGCTTCCACTTAACTCCCATTCCCGAGTCCTGGCCCAGGAGAGAGATTGAGAAAGACCAAACTGTCTCCAGCGCCCCCTTCTCAGCGGCGGAGTGGGATAGTCAGGGCCACCGCTCAGCCGGCAGGACACCTTGACACCTCGGCGAACCCCGGCAGATTCAGAAGTGTAGAGACTTACCTTCCAGCCTGGGCCCCACTTTGGTCTTCCTGGGCCTCACATGGCGTTGGAGGTGAGTAGCCCCGGCTTGTAACTGCCTTTGCTGTTTCAGCTTGAGCAGGAGGTGGGGCGTCGCCGCAGGCTGGGGCAGGAATCAGCTGCCAGAAGAGCCCTCATCGCCAGCTCCTACCACCCAGCGAGGCCTGACATCTACAGATCCCTGCAGGTACCAAGTCGGCCTGGGAGCTTGGAGGCTGTCCTGGTGGGGGACGAACTTTTCCCAGCTGTCCCGTGTTCTGCCTCAGGACGAGGCTCTGGCCCCTGAGTTTGTGGCTGCAGCTGAATACAGTGCATCTCCGGGCGCGGGCCTGGGGGGCCTTCTCCAGCGGCTGGAGACAGTGTCAGGTGAGGTCTTCCAACTCCATCACCAGCCAGCACTTTGGGGAGGTGATGGAAGGTTCCTGGGTATGGGAGGTGGCCCACCGGGAACTGGGAAGGCCAGTGGGGCCGGTCTGCAGGGCACCTCTTTTAACTCACTAATTCATCCATTCACTCCTTCATTCATTGACCATCCAGCTAGCATCAGGGCTGTGTGTTACTGTCCCCGTGGGACAGAGGGAACCGGCTTGAGGCAGCAACATGACGAGCTGGCTCATGAGGGCGTTGAGTGGGAGCTCCCGGCCCACTGTCTGCCCCCCTTCTTCAGAGGAGAAACGCATCTACCGGGTGCCGGTGTTCTCGGTGGAGTTCTGCCAGGCCCTGCTGGAGGAGCTGGAACATTTCGAGCAGTCGGACATGCCCAAGGGAAGACCCAACACCATGAACAACTATGGGGTGCGTGAGGGGGCTGGGGTGAGGCACTCATCACAGGTGCCGCAGGCGGGCTCCCCGCCTTGCTCTGACCACAAAGAGCACCGTGAAAGCAAAGAATTGTGGGGGTGCAGGGTGAGGCTGCCCCAGTCTCTCTGCTGACCCCTGGGAATCCTTCTCAGGTACTGATGCACGAGCTAGGCCTAGACGAGCCACTGGTGACACCGTTGCGGGAGCGTTTCCTGCAGCCACTGCTGGCCCTGCTGTACCCAGAGTGTGGCGGGGGCCAGCTTGACAGCCACCGTGCCTTTGTGGTCAAGTATGCGCTGGGCCAGGACCTGGAGCTGGGCTGCCACTATGATAATGCTGAGCTCACCCTCAATGTGGCCCTGGGCAAGGCCTTCACAGGGGGTGCCCTATACTTTGGGGGCCTCTTCCAGGTGAGTGAGCCCCACCATGTAGAGCCCAGGCAGTTATGAGAACTCCAGCCTGAACCCTACCATCTGCAGGCGCCTGCAGCCCTGACGGAGCCCCTGGAAGTGGATCATGTGGTGGGCCAGGGTATCCTGCACCGCGGTGGCCAGCTGCACGGGGCTCGGCCCCTGGGTACCGGAGAACGCTGGAACCTTGTCGTCTGGCTCCGGGCATCAGCTGTTCGAAACCGCCTCTGTCCCATGTGCTGCCAGAAGCCAGACCTGGTGGATGATGAGGGCTTTGGTGACGGCTTCACCCGGGAGGAGCCGGCCATGGTAGATGTATGTGCACTGACTTGAGCCTGGTTCCCCCAGAGGTGCTGGTGCCATGGCAACAGAAAACTGCCATCTTGGGCAGGGAGGGCAGGAATAAACTCCGCAGCTATGACACTTCTTGGATCAAAGGGACGTGCTGACTTCTGGGTCCCTCTTTGGCAGAGGAGCTGTCACAGGGCAGAGCTCCTGAAAGACAAGCCTACACTGAGATGAAGTCCTGAGGCTGGAGGGTGGAGCAGGCCCAGGAAGGGAAGGGGCCCCAAAAGGGTGTGTTTTCCAATGATGTCCAGCCTCAGCCTGACCCCTGGGGAGCTCTGATGCGGGGTGGGGGGACCCAGCCCGTGGCTCCCAGGCATTTAAGTGGAGCTTGTCGGTCTAGCCACAGTGCTGGGGGGTGGGGATGCAGACTTTCTGGGTTCAAGCCTCTGTTCTGGCACGGCCAGCTGCGTGGTCCTGGACTTGCTTGTGCACTGGGTGTAGTGACCGTCCAAAAAGTAGACGTTTATAAAGCACTTTATAACAGCCCTCTGTTTCGTATTACTTAAGAGCTTGCAACTGGTGGCTTGGAGATTGGGTGATGGGTGCACATAGCTGCGCACTGTTGGGGTTATGTATTCCTGGGACTTCTCTTGTAAGTCTTGACTTCTAGGTACTAAGAGGAAGTGGTAAAATTCAGAAACACTTGCCTCCATTCTCACGGCAAAAATCAGATGGAGCAGGGTCAGGCCGGGGATTCATTAATTGATTGCCATGATCCATGGCTCCTGATGGCCGCTGTATTTGTGAACTCCACTCAATGATGTTGGAAACACCAGTCTTCAGTCTGCTGAAGTTCTTAGTCTGGTGGAGCGGATAGGACGGCAGCCTAATCAGGGGAAACAGTAGGAGGATGGCTTTCAGGAAAGAGAGTGAGAGCCCCGAAGGCTTGTGGCTGTCGCTGCCACACCCCATCTCCCACCCGTGCAGCAGAGGCTCAAGGTGGATCCCTTCTTGTTGGAAGTAGGCGTGCCAGAATCGGAACCCGGGGTCCGGAACTAAAGGCAGCAGGGACTTAAACTATACCCGGATGGCCTTCCAGGAAGGACCCATCCCGGAAGTGGACCGGAAAAAACCCCAACTGGCCGCTGTTTCCCCATGCAGAGGCTGGCTGTAGACTGGTGGTTGGCGCGGGAACCTGGAGACTCATCTCTGAGCAGCCAGCCCGCCTCTTGCAGTTGAGGAAAGCTGAGGAATTTCCCCACGGCGCAGAGTCTAGTGCGCAGGCGTGTGGGCGGGGCGGGCTCTTAAAGGGGCCGCGCGGCGCGGAGTCGGTGGAGCTGGTGTCGCCAAGCGCGAGGCTCTCGGGCGGGAATGGGTGCTAGGTACCCCGAGGACCAGGCCCCGTTGGCACTGAGTTTGGGTCTACTCTGCGGACGTGCCCAAGAAGAGCTGCAGGTTAAAGTCGCCTCTTCCGGTCTCTAGCCAGTTTTGCTATGGCTCACGCTGGCTCTCGCAAGCGCTCGAGGAGTCGCAGTCGGTCCCGGGGTCGGCGGGATTCAGAAAAGCGAAGTAAGAAGAGTAGTAAGGACGCCTCGAGGAACTCCAGATCTCCAGGTCACAAGGCCTGCAGCACCTCTGAGGGTGAGCACCGCAGAGACGGGAACGGGGTGTGAGGCGCCTGCGCTGCGGGAGGCTTGTGTCTGCCCCCAGGGAGCGAGGATTGGGGCCCGCGGATGGGGAGGAGGCTCGGTTGAGTGGAGGGTGTACCTTATTTATGCTTCAGTGCACCAAGTCTTGGCCTGGCCACCCTGCCAGGCACACAGTGACTTCTAGAACCCCAAGGAAGGTTCGGAATGTGCTGTGGAAGAGCCGATTGGGAGGGTCCTACCGAATAGAGGCCTGAGCCTGCCCCAGGCCACAGCAGGGGACAGAGGCCTTACCTTCTCCCTGCATCACAGAGAGAAGCAAGCACAAGGCCCGGAGGACAGCGAGGTCCAGCTCTTCCTCCTCCTCTTCCAGCTCTTCCAGCTCCGCTTCGTCCTCGTCCTCCAGTGACGGCCGGAGGAAGCGGGGGAAACACAAGGATAAGAAGAGGAAGAAGAAGAAGAAACGGAAGAAGAAGCTGAAGAGGAAAGGCAAGGAGAAAGCTGCGGTGATGCACCCGGCAGAGGCCCTGCCCGGCCCCTCGCTGGATCAGTGGCACAAATCAGCCGGGGAGGACGATGGCCCAGGTACCGTGTGGGCCAGCATGCGGTGGGGAGAGGCTGCTCCCTCCAGGTCTGATGCCCTCCGTATTCCCTTCCAGTCCTGACTGACGAGCAGAAGTCTCGCATCCAGGCCATGAAGCCCATGACAAAGGAGGAGTGGGATGCCCGACAGAGTGTTATTCGCAAGGTGGTGGACCCAGAGACAGGTCGCACAAGGTGTGTGGGGCAGCAGGCACAGCCAGCTGCTCCTGCCGTCAGTGCAGTCGGGAGTATCTGCCCAGGACGTGCGCTTGAGGGTGGGGAGCTGCAGCCACTTCCATCACAGACAAAGTAGGGGGAAATAGTTACTTGAGGTGTGGCATCCCAGCTGCTGTCCCCTGTGCCCCTTGAAGTGGTGCCAGGACTGGAAGGGCCTTGGAACTTTTCAAACGGTTGCTGTGACAAAGGAGAGCCTGCCTGGACTGTCTGCATTCTGGCCCCAGGGGTGGTTGGCAAGAGTGGCCAGGCTCCCCTACTTGAGGTGGTCGGGCTTGCCTTGGGTGGCTTTGGTTCTGTTGCTATGGTATAAGAGTCCCAGCCTCCTCCTTGCTGAGCTGACTCCCTCTAACCCCAGGCTCATCAAGGGAGATGGTGAAGTCTTAGAGGAAATCGTAACCAAAGAACGACACAGAGAAATCAACAAGGTTGGTGTCACTGCTTTGGCCATGCTTTGCCCGTGCTGAATCAACACTCAGAATCTCATGCTTCTGTCCTGTTTTCTTCCTCAGCAAGCCACCCGAGGGGACGGCCTTGCCTTCCAGATGCGAGCGGGCCTGCTTCCCTGAGGGCCCTGGTATCCCAGGTCTGTGAACTACTGTGGTGGCCGCTGGCCTACTCCAGCATCCTCTTGGGTGCAGTGGGTGGGAGTGGAGTGTCAGTATTAAATAGTCTCGATCAGAGTTCCTGTCCTGTTGCTTTCTGTTGCCATTCGACTTCTGGCCACCCTGTCCCTCTTCACTTGACTCAGCCTGGGTCCTTAGGTTGAGCTCATCAGGCCATGGCCTGTGTCCCCTGGGGAGCAGAGGCCCCAAACCTACCTCACCAGGCGTGTGCCTGAGAAGGGCAGTCAGCTCGAGGGCGTGTCTGACGTCTCAGTAGTCAGTGAGCGTGTGTTACTGCAGTGGATGTCCCTAAGCACCACACCTTCAGTGTCCTGCCCCACCCACACACCAGGAGACCCATGGTGCCGCCGCAGTAATGAGACCAGAAGGAAGCCTCCTGCTTCTTTAATTGGTTAACAGACAGTGACACGGTATACAGAGAGCACACTCAGGCCAGACGATGCAGGGACAGCGTGGGTGGGGTCAGGACACGGCTCACACACTGTCCAGAGAAACAGGTGGCACAAGGACACACAGGAGGGGCTGAGACGTGAAGATGTCACGGGGTAGGGTGGAGGGCAGCTCACACAGAACCAGGGTGGGGTGGGGTGCTTTGCTGAATCCTCCTTTAGAAATCAAAGAGAAGGCAGGTGGTTGGTGCTGGGTGGCATTGAGGCTCAGTCCTGGGGACTGGATGGGGAGGGGGTGACTAAGGCTTCTACTCTAACAGGCCTGGGGTGGGCGGCAGGTGACAAGGTCTGCCTCACCCTTTGGTTACGGATGGCCAGGCCTGAGCCCTGCAGCTCAGCACCTGACACTGTAAACATTTTTTGGTATTTTTAAGGGACTTTGACCTTCCTCTCTTAGTCTTTGTAAAGTGGGGCTTCCTTAAGAGAATTAGCCAAGGGAATCTTAGGGGAAGCAGAGAGCAGACTTGAGCGAGGTTTGAGGGGAGGCTGCCCGTCTCACCATCTATGGCTAAGGGCCCTGGGAGAGCCCCAGGGGACTATTGCTGTTATCCTTGGCATGGCTGGCGGCTGGGCAGGCAGGGGCATTCAGAGCCACAGGCGGCTGCCCAGGGGGAGAGACCAAGCCCGCTGACCCCAGGGCCTCCCTGGCCTTTATTGCAGGTGGCCTGAGGCTTCCAGGTGCTTCTCCCAGCGGCTGGTCATCTAGGCTGAGGCAAGACGGGCGGGGCTGAGGCAGGAGGCACTGGCTACTGGGACCCCTAGCGGGGCAGTGATTGTCAGCCAGCAGCTTCCTTAGGGGGGAGGAGCAGATATTGCACTTTCACCGTGACAGGTCATGGAGTCTTGGTCCATAAAGTAATCACTGCTTTATATAGAACTTGACACAACAAAGCCACATCTTAAAGGAAGACCATGAAGGTCTCACCTCTCCAGACATTTTTTTCCTCTGCACAAAATAAATAGCTTTCTTTCTGTCTGGGCCCACGCGGCGGGGCACCACTCCTGTGTTGTATGCGTCTCTCCTGCACACCTACAAGCCTAGCCGCTCGGCCCTGAGTCTGAGCCCAGCTTGGCAGCTCCTGAGGCACAGAGCCCCGTCGCTGGACAGCTGGCCTGAGCCGGGTGGACTCAGCCAGCGCAGGGAAGGTGCAGTGGAATTGTGCTCAGTGCTGTGGGGAAGGCAGGGCTCAGACCCAGCATGTGGGACACCTGTCCTTGTTTGGGGAGAAATAAAATGGCTGTCTGCCCTTAAGCTGACACAGCAAGCTGTGGCTCCTTGGAGTAGACATTCAACGGAATGGCATTAAGAAAACCTAAGAACTCCACCTGCCCCAGAGTAGGAAGTTGGTGGAATTGTGGGTCAGGTGAGGCGAGAAGCCCACACCTTGCCGAGTGGACCAGGTGCAGGGCCCACAGCCCAGACTGAGTGGGACCCTGTCACAGTGTGGGTGTCCTAACGTAGCAGGCTGCACTGACACTGAGTTAAGAAAGGAAGCAGCCGAGGAGTGCCTGTTAAAAAAAACCTTATAGAAACCAGATGGAGAAGTAGAAAGGCGTAGAAACGCGACGGGCAGCAGCCATGGCATGGGGCCCCAGCCCACGGCAGGCGAGGAGGTGGAGGTGGGGGCCGGGCGGCTGCAGGCCCAGCTGCCCAAGGTGGATTACCAGGAGCCGGCCTCCAGCCCGTGCTGTGCTCAGGGCCTGGAGGGACACCAGCCCTGTGACTGCACTGAGCTCTGGATAGGGCAGGTGGACGGGTGGGCAGCAGTCTGGGGCTGCCACGGTGCTGGCAGGCCAGGCAAGCGGCAGAAGTTAAGATACAGCCTTTCTCTCCGGCTTGGGTGAAGATTTGCCACACTGCAGTATTCTGTGTAGTGACAGGTCCTGGATCAGCAGATACTGGGTTTCATGCATGTCAACATGTCTGGAGCCAGAAGAGATGGTAACGGGTCTCCACTCTCAAAAACCAGTGCAAAACCAGTGAGGTTGGACAGTTGAGACCTGGAGTCAACAGGGAGCAGGCTGGACCCCCACTGGAGCTGCTACCGAGTGGGAAGGGGCGCCGGTGAACAAAGAGGTGGCAGGCTGGGCTCAGACCCACGCCTGGCACCAGGAGACTGAGGATCAACACAGGGCAACATGTCCAGGAATGCCTCCCGGGCTCATCCTGGTTCCTCTTCTAACACGGGCTGGATATCCTGCCAGCTTCCATGACAAGCTGGGCTCCTCAGAGCCTAGGGCGTGAGGCAAGGCTGGGAGGACTGTGCTGGCATGGCCATGTCTCCCACGGGGTCCTGGGACAAGCTCTCAGCCATGTCTGTGCCTGTCCCCAGCCACCTATGTGTGCCCAGGCCAGGCCTCCCAGTGGGGCCGGTGCCCTGGCCTAGCACCATGGAGACCACAGCGGCTCCTAACGGTGTCCTATTTGGGTCCTGTGGCTGCCCCTGGTTCCAGCCGGCCTGTGATGGTGCGGCCCCAGCAGCTGGCCGCCACACTCATGCTGCGCTGGCCGCGCTGCTCACTGTCCATCTGGCTCTGTGTCCGATCGTGCCGGTGGCTGGGCCCGCCAGGCTGGGCTGAGATGGTGCGCAGCAGGTGGTTCCGGGAGCGCAGGAAGTCACCCTGGCCCGGTAGGCCGAAGCTGCCCTTGCGCAAGGCCATGCGTGTGGCTGTGTTCCTGGCTGGACGTGCCCGATGATTGTACTTGAGCTGGGCCAGGTGGGCCGCGTAGCCATCTGTGATGAACTGTAGAGGGCGGCAGGGTGGGTTGTCAAGCAGCCTGGGGCTCCCCAGGCTGCCGGTGCGTGCCCTCCCGTGCGCCCCACTCACCTGGCACTGCTGCTGCAGCTTCTTTGTGGGCCGGCCCACAATGTAGATGTGCATGGGAGACAGGCTGATGGAGTTGTAGACGGCCACATCCTTTGTGGAACCGTAGGCCGCATGTGCGCGCAGGTGCAGCTGTGGATGAGACAGCCATGGGCGTGGGCTGGGCCTGCCTTGTGCCCCCCCCCGCCCAGTCTTCCCAGGCCCCACCTCAGAGATGAGCAGCTTCAGGAAGTTGGCCTTGTGCCGCAGCGGGTCGTGTACCAGGCCATCGCAGAAGGACACCACACCGTGAGGGAAGTTGTGCTGAGCCAGCCATGCCACCACCCGCTGCTTCTGCATGTCGGGCCGGCCAGTCACATAGATGATGAGGTAGCCCAGGTCCTGCCAGTGTCTGCAGAGGCCAGGGGCAGGCATGGGGTAATCCCAGGGCTGCTCTGCCCTCTCTCCTGCCCAGCTGCCCCCTCTCCGGCCCAGCTGGGGCTCGTTTGGGCCGTTGAAGAGTAAATCTTCAGTTGGCCTTTGTGGTGCCCACCTGCCCTGATGGTAATCCCAGATATGCATAAGGCTGAGGCAGGAGGATGGCAAATTCAAGGCAGCCTGGGCAGTTTAGTGACAGCCTGTGTCAGAAAGTGAAAAGGGGCTGGAGTGTAGCCCATGGCAGAGTGCTAACCCTTGCCTTGTATGATGAGGCCACGTCCTCCGCCTAACACCACACAGAGAAGAGGACGATACATCTCAGCCAGGGCTTGGACAGTGGTGTGTGGGTAGATGGCAGTGTCAAAGCCTCTCTGGACTGAGCTTGGGGGGCAGGTGTTCTAGGTCCCCTCGAAGGAGGCGTCCTTGGAACTGGCCTGGCATCAAGTGTGCCAACAGCTTGCTTGAGGGTACACCAGTCTGGTGACGCCGGCTCAGGCCCTCCAGCCTGTGCTGTGTGCAGTTTCCTCCTCCACCTGGCCCCCACCCACCTTCCAAAAGCCACACCAGGCCCCAAGGGTCACTCACCGCACCACATCCACAGCTCCGGCGCGCACCTTGGGGTCGCTGCCCATGATGGACACACTGGCAGCAAAGGAGCCATCAATACTGAAGACCACAAACTCTGTACCCTTGGGGAGCACGGTGATGTAGCTGTCGGCAAATGTGTGGTCTCCCCTGGTCGTCAGGGATAGCTTGTCAGAACCAGCTGGAGCCTACCCCCACCCCCTCGCTCCCATGCCCAGGAGGCAGGCCTGCCTGCCTCACCAGAGGCACATACCTGACCACCATCTTGATGGGATAGACGCCCACCCCCAGGCGGTGTGTCTCTGGAATGGTGTAGGAGACACGCCCGCTGCTATTGGTCACCAGAGTGTCCAGGTACAGCCACTCACCTGAGGGTGGCTGCGTCATGATGTGCACATCCACCTGAAACCCAGATAAGCTGGTTACAAACCAGCCGTGGCCTGGCTTCAGTCCCTGTACCCTGGCCAGCAGGATGGAGGCACTATGCCAGGCTCCGTGTCCTACCTTCTCCCCAGTCAGGGTGACCATGTCCAAGGGCCCATACATGAACCGGCCTGTCACAGTCTGTGGGCCATCCTCATTGGCAACTGCATCATTGATCCGGTGGTTGGCTGTCACATTCTGGGGAGGCCAAAGGAGAGTGGCTGGGATCTTCTGGGCTCAGCTAATTCCACGCTGCAGTCCAGCCAACAACCCGGCCAGAGCAGGGGGAGGGGCAGCCAACCTTGCGGTGTATTCCTCCTCCCCCGCTCCTACCGCACTCATGGATGGGACTCGATGGCCCCCAGCAGTGCTACGTAGCTGCCCATGGGACTAAAGAGGGTGGCGCCCGTGGGCCTAGGTGCGGGAAGACCCTCACCCGCAGCTTCACGTGGGTCCTCTTGCGCTGCCACTTCTCTCTGGGCTGGGACGGTGTGAATACCGACACCTCTTTGCCATCCAGCTCCAGGATGCTGGAGCTGTCGTGCCGCATGACCTGGGGAACAGAGTCGGGCTGAGGGGCAGGCTCAAGCGTGGGGGGCTGCTCTGGAAAAGGCTCAGCGTCTCCAGGAACTGGCAATGAGCAACTGGGGTCTGTAGGGCTACTGCACCCTCTAACCTTGTCTGCGACCCCTAACCCCAAGTGGTTCCCATCTTTGCTGTGAATGTGCACTCTGTCCCACCCCGACACTCTGCAGATGCCAGACATCCCCGTGGAAGGCCCGGCTGTGTCCCGGCAGTAGGTACCTGTCTCAGGAGAAAGGAGGCGACATCAGTGGACTCCCAGTAGCTGGCGTGGAAGAGGTGCGGCAGGGCCACCGTGGGGAAGGCCGTGAGGGCGTCGGGGCAGTACAGGGCATAGTCAATCCGCTTCTGGCCCCACCACTTGGCAGCGACTACCGGGGGGAAGTCAGGAGGAAGGGTTGTCACAGTCTCCAGGACAGAGACCCTAGTGGGTCACCTGGCACTCAGGCCTGCTCATCTCAGACTAGCCCTCCCTCCAGGTGCAGTCAAAGCAGGTTTTCTCCCAGGCTGGTGACAGGCAAGCAGGTATGCATAGAAAGTGCCCACAGGCAGCCCTGCTGCCCAGAATACAAAGCCCTGTGGCAGTGCTGAGGAGCACGAGGATTTCTGGAGCTGGATGAACTGTCCCAATGCTGTTGGCGACTGACTGAGAAGTGTCCCTACCCTCGTCCCTGCTCAGGTCCTCTTTCTATATTCTTATGTTCTTACTGCTCCCGGGCTTGAACATGTGAAAGGAGGCTCAGAGAGACTTTGGTTTGACAATTTGCAACCTCCAGACAAGGCTCCCTGTCTTCCCGGTGCTTTGCAGAGAGTGAAGGGTGAGTGGTGAGGCCCGGGGCCTTCCGATAAAGGGGCCCTAGTGTCCCCCATCAAGGGAGAAATAGCATGAGGGATGCCATGCCTGGTGGCTGCACATAGGTGCCATCTGGTGGCACTTGTCTCATAAGGCTTCACTCCCGAGTTCTGCCCATGGCCTTCGAGATAGGATCCCCAGGTAGCTCCAAGCCCTGCCCTCTCCTCCCCACCCAAGGCTATTTTCCCATTAGCCTCAGCAAGATCTGGCAGACAGGGCCTAGCAGTGAGTTGGTGAGCCATGCTTGGCGACAGTGAGTGATCTTGGGTTAGAGAGGAGAGTGCTATGGTTGGGGTACCTTCTCCGATGTCCAAGTCAGGGAGGCAGGGGAACCTCTCCAGGTTGGCGCTCACCTGCCTTGCCCTGGCACGGGGACCCTGGGTGGTAGGGGATGGGGGGGGCAGGGCGAGCAAGGATAGGCGCCTGACGCTGGGGGTGTGGCTGAGTGACGAGGGACCCTCTGAGAAGCAAGAACAGGGGAATGGTTCAGACACACACACACACACACACACACACACACACACGCACACACACGCACGCACGCACCCACGCACGCATACATACACACCAGGGGCCCCAACATTGGTAGCAGACCAGAGAGGATATGAGCCAGGACCCACCAAGGGAAGACCTGTAAGAAAGCTGAAACCTCGGAAACCCCCACGGCAGTCCCAGTCCTGGCCCAGCGATTCGGACCACGGCCTCTAAAGTCTCATCTCCACCCTCCCAGTGAGGGCACCGCAGGTTGGCACTGCTGACCAGTCACTTTGGTGGAAGCACCCTGGCCCTGCAGGGGCTCAGCACCCACTTCCTGCCAGGGAGATACCGCTATGGCCCTCTCCTCAGGGATGTCACTCACTCTGGGCAATGCTGGACGCTGTGTAGTTCTCAGCCATGCCCGACACCTGACTGGCAATGCTGATCTCACTGGCTCTGCGGAAACCACGGCTAGCAGGGGCCATGCCAGGCGATGAGGGGGCTGCATGCTCTTGGAAGACTATGTTGTGGGTCTGGAGTGCATCCGCTGTGGGGGGCAGGGACAGAGGTCCAGGTAAGAGAAGCCCTGCCTGACCCTAGGTCTCCCAGCAATGGGAGAGGCCAGCTTGCCAGATCCGGTATGCACCAGGGTGCAGCTGGTTTAGGGTCTTGAGAGCCAAGGGCCTGAGCAGGGATGGGGAGGGCTGGGCAGAGAAGGGTGGACAGATGGACACAGACATGGGGCAGGGAGGGAAGGCATGGGTTCCTGCCCTCCTTGGCCACTTCTTCCCCGTATTTGGCTCCACAGTTGCTGTCTTGAACCAGCCCACAGATTATCAGCATGACCTCGGGCAGCTTCTCAGGGATGCCGTGCGTAGGCCGAGAACAGAGGAAGGTAGTCCCCAGAGTGGCCCTCACATGTAGACTAGGGCCCAGGTGAAGGCAGGACAGAACAGAGCTCAGCTGGAGGAACCAGTCTGGATGGTGTATCAGAAGGGCCTGCACATTCTCACGAAGGGAGGGAGGGAGACCCAGAGGCCCCAAGGTCTTCCAGCTGAGGGGTGAAGGGTGTCTGCTTGAGACCTCACTCTATGTTGTGTCTGCTCCCCGTAGCCTCAGGTAGGGAAATCACACGCTGTCTGACATAGGGACAGCCTCTGTCCATCTCTGGGGAACTGTGACCACTTTGCTTTAGGGTAGCCTCAGCTTCTGATCATTGTGCACAGAGAGGAGGCGCCAAGACTAACTTCCCATGGCCATGCCCTTGTTATCAAGGTCCCACTGACTCTGAGTGGCCAGAGAGGGCACGAGGCGGGTAGAGGACCAAGGGACAGCAGCCAAGCAGACATCAGTCGCCAGGAGTGGGGGGTACACACACTCAGCACAGCCCAGGCTCTGGCGGGGCCCATCCTGCCAGGTGAGCGCGGGAACGGGGACACTGGTCTCCAGGAAGCTGTCCCCGTGGGGGAGGGGGGCCAGGGGGCCGCCCTCCAAGACCAGTTCTGGGTTTCTCTGCACGGTCTCGACTGGAGGCAGACGGGAAGAGAGCAGAGAGGACAAGAACAGACACTCAAGTGGGCCATCTGCACATGTGCTGACACAAACAAGGCTCCTGAGGACCAGGACATGACAAAAGATGCCAGGATACACATTGGAGCAAGGGGATGGGCCACTCCCTCCCACACTCCAGCCAACTCTGGAGTTGGCTGCCTACCACAGTGGGCCCAGTCTACAACACCCCCATCGCAGAAGGCCCGTAGCTCTTTCCCCATTGGGGTGGAGGCCCTAGGCAGCAGGGAAGGCAGTATGACCCTGGCTGTTACTGGGAACCCTCAGCAGGCGTGGACAGGCAGAAGTCCCTCTTGCCCCACTGGGATCAGGGAGCATGACTACATCTGCAGCTCAGCAAGTGTTTACGGGGAACACATGGGGGCAGGTGTCTTGACGCTGCTTCCCTTTTGAAAGACCCACAGTGTGTTGGGGGCTACACCACAGCAGTTATAGTTTTCCCCAACCTGAAAAGAACCCCCACCTTCCTGGGGAGCCTCACCCAGCAGTGTGGAGCAGCCATCCCCCAACGGGTAGCGCTGGTATCGGGGGATGCTGAAGGGTGGCAGGGTGTGGAAGCGCCGCTCCAGCAGCGGCTCTAGGCGGGAGGCTGAAGGGTCCGCGGGGTGGAAGAGGTTGTACACTTGTTGACAAGCTGGCCGAAGCTGGAAAACTGGCAGTGGAGGGGGTAGAGAAAGGAGACTTTGGGTAGTAGGTGGGAGCCTGGGGCCCAGGCTGCCTTCGCCATGTGTTTTTATCAATTTGTGGATCACTGAACCCTTACTAATAAAGATAATTTTTGAGACAGGGTCTCATTATGTAGCTTCTGCTCATACTGACCTCTTCCTGCCGTGGGGCTGGGATTACAAATATGTGCCGTTATGCCCAGCTCCAATTTTTTTAGTTGGAAAAATGATAGTGACACTGGTAAGAACCACAGTTTGGCACCGAAGGGAGTGTGTCCAACAGCAGAGTGGAGGGCTCCTTTTAACCCAGGCTCCCCTGTGGGAGCATCTTCAGCTGGGTGTGACAGGCACACAGGCCAGAGTCACCTCCCCACCGCCCCGCCCCCGCCCATTCCTAGGCTGCATCCTGGCACCGAGGAAGGCTTGGGTGTCAAGCAGCAGCCTTCCCTGGGGAATTAAGAGCCTCCCAGCTTCCCTTCTACTTCACACCCACGTGAGCGTAAGCGCACACTGCTTTCTGAACTTGGTCTTTTCACACCAGCATGTGTAGTTCACCTTATCATCCCCCAGGATGGCAGTGGATCCTACAGAATGGCCTTTGCATGTGTGTGAGAATCTTGAGATGACTCTTAGCAAGGCATGGATGGCTGCCCCCAGGGAGTATGCTCAGTGTGGAGTCCCCTTAGGGCTGAGGCTTTACCTCACCAGCAGGGCTGCTGCTGTGCCTTGTAGAAGAGAAGGAGCAGGGGCACCGGTGGGGGCACTGAGTCTAAGACTTCACTTTAATGCGGCTCCACAGTTCACCTGCTCTGCTTGTGTAAGCCTCTCTGAGCCTGTTCCTCTTCTGCCACTGGGGGTATAGCACCCACTGTGGGGATCATGGGCATCTCTGGGGCTATGCTGGCTAATCCTGGCAAGGATCAGGGATTTCTGGGATGGTAGGATACCGCCTACTGCCCATCTCTACACACCGCGAGGAACTATGGTCTTGTCTGTCCCCGTGGATAGACCCTACATCAGAGACTGACCTCCCCGACCCTGCTGTGTGTCCCCGCTGCTTCAGGGGACCTAGAGAGAGGTATGAAGCAGGAGGTCTCAGGTGACACCTGCTGGAGAGGCATGGAAGGTCCCTTGGTGGTAGAGACACTGAAAGTGCTGGCATGTGACCATGGCGTTGTGACTGACCCCTAGTGGCCCCTATCCAGCTCATGTAGCCTGTCCTACCCCTGTAGGCCTCTCACCGTCCAGGGAGGGGATGACAGTTTTCCTCAAGGCTAGGACTAGCCCCAGCGGGCACCCGAAGAGGAAGAGGTCGGCGATCTCGAAGTCAAACTTGCCCAGGGCCCCGGCACCGTCCAGCATCGTGGAGCTGCTTGAGCGGCGGGAGCTGGGCTCATTCCTCAGTACGCTGGCATGGAGGCTACAGTGGAGGATGTGAGACTCAGACTGGGTCTCATGGTCCCTTAGGGACTGAGCCATGAGCTGTCACACGTGCAGGGCTACCTGCTGGGACACTCCTAGTAACAGCAGGTCACTTCTCCAGGGGAGCCTATTACGGCTGAGATACCCCTGATGGGATCATGCTGCCCTTGACTCCACCTCACTCCTACCCTTAGGACAATGTGTCTCCAGTGGCTGAAGGTGGTCCTTAGTGTGTACAGGACCACAGCACTTGCTAAGCTGGGAAGTTCTCCAATAGGAATTCCCAGAACCCACACATGCAATTGGCTTGTGGCTTGGTGAAGGGACATCCTGGTTCTCCAATGCGGGGCCTTTCTCCTCCTAAGTAGTATTCCCCAAGTCCTACCTGGACAGGAAGGCCTGGTGCTGCTGGATGGTGTCCAGCTCATAGGTGGATGAATCGCTCCTTTTGCGGGGCAGCTGCCTTCTGGGGTCCTCGGTGCCATTGCTGCGGGGGATGTCAATGTTGCTTCGGCTCAGGTGCCGACTACTCTCCAGGCTGGAGCCTCCGCCACTGCCACTGCCACCGCCACTACCACTGGAGCAGTGTGCTGCATTCACCAGGATGCCCGGGGACAGCAGGTCAGCGTCCTGGAATGGCCATGGAGGCTCACTGCCAGGTGGTCCCCAGCCTAGGCCCTTCTTCAGGGTTCTGTGAGCCCCTACCTCCTGACTCCAGGACCTGCTGGCCACTGCCCAGCTGCAGGCTTCTCACCCAACCAGAGGGGAAAGTCTTGTCTCCCACTGCCCCTCAGACTACTGGCTAAGTCCTAGCAGCCTTCATTCCAGGACTGGCTTGGCACACAGTGATCTCTCCCAGGTGATGGCCACTCTACAGCAGGAAGACATCAGGGTCAGACAAAGAGGGGGACAGGGTGCGCCCACCTCACCTCTTAGGACAAGAGCTGCTCCATGCAATACAGCCTTGGTGTGTGAAACTACATGCTCTCCTGGAGCATTGCAACGGTGCTCTAGACCCCAGGCTCTAGCCTGACACTTGTGCTCACCCACACCAGCAACCTGTGTCCTTCCCAAGTGTCTCCCGGGGAGTACTGAGGAACTCTCTTTGGGGCTGCTGTTGACCTGCTTTGGGTATTTTCCTTCCCTTAGTCTGAGACTCGGGGGATATGCTCTCCATGCCTCTGGGCTTGGACATTGTTGAATGAGCAGAATAGACAGAGCATGGACTATGGCGTCCAAGTCAGATCCTCAGGGTCTTGGCTGGGTACACTGCCGTGGGACACAACATGGGCCAGCTGACGGCTCGGTGCTGTACAGCAGGCAGGGAAGCCCATCTCCACGGTGCAGCAGAGACAGCAGGCCTTAGTGGAGTTTGGGAACAAAGGATGCCCCACCCTCTGACCCTGCTTAGGTACCTGCATGCTGACCACGCTGCCCCGGCGGCTGCTGCTTTGACTTTCAGACACTGGCTGGCCACTGTAGCATAGGGCATCAAATGCCAGGATGCCCCCAACACAATCTCCAATCAGGCAGACCTAGAGACAAGATGGCAGAGGCCTGAGTCTTCAGCTGGCACGCTGGGCTGCTAATTGGGAAAAGCACCCCCGTCCCACTACCAGGTCCCCTGGCCAGTCCACCCTGAAAGGTCTTTCTCCACCCGCTGCCACCGCTCACCTGCCCACTGAAGGTCACACCTTCCTGAGACTTGATAAAGTCTCCATAGGCCAGGTTGGCCCGCTGAATCACTGTGGCAACTGCCTCCTGGTACTGCGGTGAAGAAGTGGCCAGCAGGGGCAGGGCAGCCAGGGGGATGTGGTCCTGGCTGCTAGACAGACAGCCCTCATCATGACCGTAGGGGCTGAGGCTGGGGGGAGGGGCTGGGTCAGCAGAGGGCAGGTAAACTCAGCTTGACCCAAAGGCCCTCCCCATCTGGAAAGCAGGGGTCAAACAGAGCTGCCTGCCCCCAAAGTACGTGTGGAGACACTCCCAGGGAGGCCTGGGGCGCAGGCTCTCAGGGCCAGGGCCACCAAGGAGACTCATATCCCGAGACAGGCCAGCATCCACACTCTACAGAATGGAACATGGGCTCCTGGAGAGTGTCCTCCAGGAATCTGAACTTAGTTTGTCTGCACAGGCTCTGCTGCCTCCAGGCTGAGGGGGTCAGATGGTGGGAAAGGACAACCTGGACAGAGGACCTAACTCTGGGGAATCACGTAATGCTCGGGGCCAGAGGTGGGGACAGCTTGTGGCTCCTTCTCCTGGCAGCGGGCATGATGGGTGTTGGCAGGCATATGCCACTCACTTGGAGACAAGGGCGAAGGCGTCAGCACAGATGGGTGGGCAGGGTACCAGGCGGATGGCTAGGTGGCCTAGGGCACTGGGGTAGTGCACACGCATGACAGTGTCGAACACGTTGGTGATAGTATTGGTGTCGCCCTGCTTGGAGCTGGGGTCCCCGGCTCCAGTGTCCAGGATGGTGCCTCCGTGCAGCACCAGCAGCAGCACATGAATCTTGGAGGGTGGAGCGGCTAGTGGCTGGCTCACCTCATCCTGCATGAGTAGTGGTGGACATGAATTCCTTGCCAGGCCTCAGGCACCCTAGATTTTTGTTTTTGTGGTGTTGGGAATTGAACTTAGGACCTCATACATATATGGTAGTATGATAGGCAAATGTTCTACTCCTGAGCCAAATCCCCGGCCTGAGAGCCCTGGTTTTGATTATTTGGTTATGGGGTCTGGGCTGACTGCCTCGGCCCTTCCCTTGGACCCCTGCAAGGACCAGAGAGAGGAGGAAGTGGTGTGGCCTGACCAGCAGACTCAAGAAAGGGTATGTTCTAGAGAAACCACCAGTTCCACTTTCTTCAGGGTCTCAGGCAACAGCTTCTGCTTGGGTGACCAGGCCTCTGTATGTCTGCTGCATGTCTGCTTTCAGGTATAGGTCTGGCTTGGCCCGAATAGTCAGGCCATGCTGGCCCGGAGGCAAGGGGATCATTAGGATTTGCCAAGGCTAACGAAGTAGTTTAGTTCTAAGGTTCTCCACTTGTCACTCAGCCCAAAGTCCCGTTACTTCCAGAATCTAAGGCCAAGGTCCTCAAGAGCAGAGGGATCCTGGCAGAGGCAGGGTCCTAAGCACACTGCAGCGGGAAGGGAAGATCAAGTCATGAACCTGCCTTCCTACTGGCCAGACCTGCGCTGAAGTCCAAGGGAGACCCTGGAGTAACGCATGGCTACGCACAGGGGTACGGAGCTATCCCTTTCACAGACAAGGTGGCAGGCTGGAGGCCCAGGCCCTGGTCATTTGGCTCCACAGCACCGAGACAGAATCGCAACCTGAGCTCCTGATAGTTCTCTGGCATCCCAGGCTGGGGCCCCTGTCCCCAGGCCTCTCCCTGAATGCCCACTGAGTCCCAGGCCTGTGTCTGAGAAGGACCACTGTTTTGTATCTGTTGTGCCGTGTTATGTTCAGGAGTGTGGGGAAGAGAGTAGAGGAGATACTGACTTGGGGTTTGCTCTCCTCCAGGACTGGGGGAGGAACAGCTGCACATACAGAGCTGCCCACCACAGGCTGGTCTGGGCAGAGGGAATGGTGGCCACTCCTGTCGGGGTCAAGTCCATGGACTTCTCCAATGCAGTGAGTACAAGGTTACAGAAGAAGAACCTGCCAGCTCCTGGACAGGGTGTGCAATCTAGCTGAACCTTGTTACCTGAGGGTGGCTGGGACTGGGCTGGTGCGGTGTCAAGATTACCCTCTGTATACTTGTCTGGCTGGACCCTTCAATGGTTAGCCCTTCAGGGACTCCCACAGGCCCAAAAACAGCTTTCTTCACATTCAGCCTAAGACAGGAACGCCCCCTGCCCTGAACTCTAGGGGGAACAGAGCTCACGAGATTAGTAAAGTCAGCTATAGGGAGCCAGGGCAACCCCCAGTCAATGTTCTGTCAAGCCACCGTTCTATGACGGAAGGTTCCGGTTTGGGGGCTCAGAGGGTCAGAAGAGTCTGACTTTGGATGGTGGGGCCCTGCAGCCAGTGCTGGGCTCCTCCAAAAGCACACCCCAAAGCAGAGCCTGAGCTGTAGGCCCCGCCCCTCCCCTGGGGGACAATCAGAGCTGTGTGCGCTATGTTGGAAGGACCTCTGCTTGCTTTGCCTAACATTAGGCAGTGACTGACAATCATTCCCCTCACCTACTACCCTTCTAGAAAAGTGTGCCTCCACCTCAGACCTCAAAGGAGAAGACCCCAGGAGGGAAAGAGGTGTGCCTGCCTCTCCCACGCCCTCCAGGGAGACCAGAATTCCCATGAAGGCGTTATATCCACCTTGGGCAGCCTGAAAACAGAACAGGGCAATGACTGTGACCACAGCATGGGACAACCCTGGTCCGGCCTGGCTCCTGCCCCAGTGCAAACAGCTCTGACGGCCTGCAGGTGGAAGGGGCGCGAGCTCAGCAAAGAACCCCCAAAGCGGACACAGGCTCCATAAAGACAGCTTTATTGGACACACTGAGTTCTGCCTGACCCCAAGGGCCACAGCCACATCACTTCTGCCTAGGCGACTTTAGCTTGCTTCCCTTGACTCCTTTTATCTTCCAGTGCCACAGATATGATGGGAACCTGGTGATGCTCTTAGATTTACTCTGGAATTTACAAGGTTCTCATTTTACTTCCCCAAAGGAGGAGCTTGGCCAAGGTTTTCCTTGAGGGCTGTCTGCTGTTCCTGGTTCTCATGAATACCATAAGAGACAGGGCTGGCCAGTGTCTCCATAGAAAAGTGGCAAGGGAACGGACCCCTGGCCTCTGGTGACTGTCTGGCTAAGTGTGAATGTGAGGTTTTGGAGAGCTCTGTCTCTGTACCCTCTCCCCAGCCCCCTCCCCACAACCGTAGTCACTTGGTGTCCAGGGTACCCACCTCGATGATGTTCAGTTGCTCCACACTGGAGGCCACCCTGAACTCAGGCCCACTCTGGTGGTATAGGCCGTCTGTAACACAGAAGCCACAATAACTGCTGGTGCTGTGAACACTGGTAGCCAAAAGCGAGCTCTGGCCAAGGAGTCCCTCAAGCCCCTGGGTCCCACCATGGTGTAAAAACTGGGTAAGATGGGAGCAGGCTGCACCCTCACCCCCCAGGCTGGTTACCCTGTGGGTCCTCAGGCTCTGGATTCTCCATTTTGTCCATGAGGTCATTGGAGTTCCACTTAGTGATGTCCTTGGGGAATACTTCCTGGTTGTACAGGTCCTCTGCAGGAGAAAGAGGGACTTCAGGGGGACTGGAGACACACTGGGCCTCCTGTGTTCCTGGAGCCCACAAACACAAGTGTTCCCAGCTTTGCCTCCCCCCTCCCTATCTTAACAGGACAGCCAGGCAACTGCAGACCGCTGGCCTTTCTCCACCACATGGAAGTCCCCACTCTCACCATTTTAAAGTAGCATTTAGTATATTCATTATGCTGCGCAGACATTGCCACTATCTAATTCCAAACTATTCCCATCACCTTGAATGGAAACTGCATGCTTTATCACAACAGCCAGGGTTCACAGCATAGTGAGCTCTCCTCCAGGCCTTTGCCTATCCTGGACACATTCAGTGGGCACAGTCACACACTATGTGGTCTTCCAGGCGAGACTTTGTCCTCACAGCTCCAAGCTTTTGAGGTCTGTCTGCTCTGCAGGGTGTGGTGACGCCTCCTTCCCTCGACGGATCTACCCTAGCCTTTGTTTATCTGTTCACAGCTGATGCTGATTAGTGTCCAGAAAGACACAGCTCAGTGAGGACGCGGCTATGGACACGTCACCCAGGTCTAGTCTTGCAATCTGCTTCTCTAGAACTGCTCTGAGGGCCGGGCAGCTGCCTGGGCTCAAGCTCATGCTGGCCCTCTCCTCCTTGGGCTGAGGATGGGCTCCGGGGCAGGATCTGAGAAGCCTGCTGCTCTAGCATCTGTGCCTTTTCCATACAGTCTTTTTCAACACTAGGTGTTTTTCCTCTTTCAAGGACAAAGAGCCAGCGGGGAAGGGTGGGGCGCCAAAGACGCCTTGCCAGGTGTAGAGATTGGTCAGGAGCCCCCTGGGACCCTTTTCCAGGTTGCCTAACTCAGGACAAGCCAAGCATCTCCTTTTTTGTTGGACACTGACTCCCCAGGTTCTCTCCCTGTAAGTATGGCTAGCCAGTTAATGAAGATGCCACATGTGGGCAGCGCTCTGCTCCTCCGAGCTATGGTGGCAGGAGAGGACCTCATGTTCCCACTGTTCTGTGCTTCTGTCATTTGCATGCTTTGGGGCTGGCTGGGCTGCCAGCATGCTGTCGGACACATCTGTCTTTCTGGGCCGGCCTACTGGCCCTTCTGACTTCTTTGAGAGCATCTTTGTGGTTCTGTGCGAGCGAGGCAGTGCATTTTCCGGCACAGGTGAGCAATTGGCTGTGTGCCCGCTGTGCTTATTTTGTCATTAGTAGGAAAATGTGAGGTTCATCTAGTTTCTGCTTATTGCTTTTTCTAAAGTGTCTGCATTAGATGCATATTAATTTGCATTAATTTAATGAAGAAAAGCAACAGCACACAACAAACGAAGCACAAAAATTGAGGATGCTGTAAGTCATACTTCTTATGGAGATAAACTAATCTGGGAAAGGCTTTGGTAGAACTGTGTGTCATTTATGAGGTGGGGGTAGGTATACATATGGCTATGTACGTAGGTATGGGTAGGTTGAACCTACCTATTCTCATTCAAGAGAACAGACCCTCCTTCCATGACCTGAGTCCTCACTAGACTCAAGAGAGGTGGCTTCCCGGTGACCTCATCTCATTCTCTGTGTTCTAAGCCCCAGCCGTCCTCTGCAACAGTATGGATACTGGTCACAGCAACAGCAGAGTGGCAGATGCTTCACATATTCTTTAACAGTTCTCTGCATCTGGCCCAAGAAGACCCCACAGGCTGTAGGAGCTGCCTGCCTACCTTGTGCATCAAAGAACTCTTCATCCGAGCCTTCGTCGGAGTCCCTGGCGATACTCTGCATCCTCCACTCTGAGATGCTATGTCGCGAGGGGCTGGCTGGAAGGCAAAACCCTCATGTGATGGTCTGGCCTGCAGAGGAAGGCTCTGTTGAGCCAGTCACAGCAGGCAGGGAGTTGTGATGGCATGCGGAGGGCTAAGTGGGCATCATCAGAAAAGTTCGCTACAGTCAGAAATGAAGAAACTAGGGACTGAGTGTCTAGGATCCACCTGCGTAGAGCCATATGGCCCTTTCGAGGAAAGAAACACCCTGCTGCCTTGTCCAAGGGGAACTTAGGATGTGAGCTCAGAGGAGCCCTGGACTTGCCATAAACATGCTCCTCAGCAGGAAGAGATGGAAGACCAAGGTTTTGGCTCATCTCATTCCAATGCCACAAGCCCAGGCCCAGGAGCACTGGGCTGGGAAGGTGTGTTGTTACAGGGGCATGACTAGCTACACAGGGCAGACCTTGCTTCATCTTGTGATCCAGGATCTGATACCTTGAAGATATCTTCTCTCATTGGGGGGACTGCCCAGAATCACTCCTCAGAGTTCCAAAGCCACAGACTGTCTGGGGCATACGGGTAAGTCTGGGGTGTGACTTGGAAGAGGCAGCCTCACTTCATGGTGAAGTCCCACCTGGTGCCAGTTAGAACGTGCAATGCTGCAGAGTTAGCTCCACTGTGTCCAGAGGAGAGACCAGAACTACAAGGACACAGCAGTGACAAGGCTACCCTGGGAACTGGGAAGGTGGGTCTCGAATCAAAAGGCAGGAACCCCAGCTCACCTCCCCGCTTGGAGGACCTTGAGGACTTGGAGGAGGTGGACCACTGCTTCTTCAGGCCCCGCCCCAGGGACTCCCCATTGCTGCCGCTGGGTTCAGAGGTTGCTCCAGATGCTTGGTCCTGAGTGGTGCTGTCCTTGCAGAGCTCTGACACTCCTTCTTCCTCTGCAAACTGGGCCATTTTTCGGGACAGCATAAGCTGTACTTCCCTTTCCAGTTCTCGGATGTTCTCCATGTTCAGTCCGTACCACTCATCCTGCCAGCACCAGGCCTGCCTGTGGGCCCGCACCATCACCCGCCGCAGGCCTGCACGGGGCGGGGGGGGCACAGAGGTGGGCTCCTATCAGAGGTCAGCTAGCGTCACTGCTCATCTGCACCTTAATTCCTCTATTGCCAACCTAGAGAACTGGCTCTCAGATGGCCACGGGCGCTCACAGTGGCTGCACACACCTGCAGGACCACGTTTGTTGCACACACCTGCAGGACCACGTTTGTTGCATAGAGGCTCTGGTCAGAAGCCACAGTTCACTGGAGGGGCTTCATGTCCCGGGGATAAATGGCACTGTGCTTCTGAAGAGCTTCCTGTCTTGATGCCTGGTCTACTTTTCTTGTTGAACTGCCCATAGAAGATCAGCTTTAAACATGGGTTGGACCCCCGCCCTGTGTGTATGCCTGTGTATGGAGTCCAGAGGTCAACATGGTGTGTTTTTCCTCTATTGTTTTTTCCACCTTTTCTTTTTTTGAGGCAGGGTACTTCATTGAACTTAGAATTTGCCAATTTAGCTACACTGGATGCCAGCAAGTGCCAGGAATTCTCCTGTCTCTGCTCCCCCAGCACTTGGATTATAAGCGCACACCATGGAGTCTGGTTGGTTTATGTGGGATTAAACCTCAGGTCCTCATGGTTCTGTGGCAAGCACTTCATTGACTGAGCAATCTCCCTAACCCCAATCTTTTTTTAAAAAAAGAAAAAAAAAGCCGGATGCAGTGTCACACAGCGATCTAAGTCCTTGGGACGTGGAGGCAGGAGTCCCAGGTCATAAGGCATCCTTAGGTAATGCTGAGTTAGAGGACAGCTTGAGTGACAGAGGACCCTGCTCCAAAACAAACAAAAAGCAAAAAAACCCAAAACATGGACTGGGGAGTTTGATGGCTCAGTGGGTAAGACACTTGGTGCCAAGCCTGACAGCAGGAGTTCAATCCCTGGGCCCTACACTATAGAAGGAGAGCTGCCTTCTGACCTCAACAGCACTCCATGCTCTTCCAAAAGACCAGGGGTCAGCTCCCAGCACCCACATCAGGCTGCTCACAACCACCTGTGACTCCAGCTCTAGGAGACCTAATATCCTCAATTGGCCTTCACAGGTATTTTCATTCACATGTACATTCCCAGACAGACAGACAGACACACACATACACACACACACAATCACACACACAACTAGAATTTTTCTTTAAAAAGCATAAAAGGAAGTACATCTCCCTGTTTGTGGTGTCACAAGGTATCTTCCCAGATGTCCCTGTGAGATCACGAGTCTAGGGTTCCAAGGGAAGAGGGCGGGGAGCCTGGACAGCTGAGAGCTACCACCTGTTCTTTAGACACCTGCTCTGGGAAGGCCACGTGGGTGTGAGGGGCACTACGTCTGAGCCACTCTGCCATCTGGAACTTTCAGCCTGTGAAGAGGCAGAGCTATGGACCAGCTAGGGTCTGGACCTCCTCAGGAAGAGGAAAGAAAATCCTGGGAGCCAGAGGCTGCAGTGACAGAAGGGGGACAGCTACAGAGGCTTCTGGCTTGAGTGGGGTGCAGGCCACAGTATCACTAGGCAGTGATGTGGTGTTTGCGTGGGCAGCAGGCACACTGGTCAGGGATGGCCAAGGCAGGGTGGGGAAAGGGAGCTGCGCACAGGCTTGGGGATGGCTGCTCTTGGCTGCCAACTTGACGATATCTGGAATTCACTAAAGCCCAAACAGCTGGCACATCTGTGAGAGGTTTTTCTTGAGTAGATCATTTGATCTAACTCGGGGCCACACCTTCTAGTGGCAGCCTATATGAAGAGCCTGACAGAAGAAAGCTTTTGCTATTTTCCTGCTTGCTGTCACGGTTACTTGGACTTTTCATTGGTGGAATACTTGGACACAGCGGGGGGGGGGGGGGGGGACACCCCCCATACCCCCCTTCTCTCTCTCAGTGTTCAGTTCCATTTCTCTAGGGAACCCTGACTTAATACAGGGTCACCTTTTAGGGGTAAACTGTAAATACACACTCCCAGCACATGGAGAGTGAAGGCAGACAGGAAGGCGTACCCCACCCCTGCACATACTCACCTGTGTCATGGATGAACCTTTCTATCTTGGACTGCATGCCCCAGTATCGGAACTCCACTTTGCAGAGCTTGTAGGCACACATGATGGGGAGGAGCCGCTTCTTGTACTCCTCAATCCAATTGTCAGAGAGAGGCCCCCGATGAGTCTTGACTGACTGGAATAGCTTGGGGTCTTCTTCAGTCTTATACTCACTGGGAGGCACAGGATCCTTGACGATGTCGATGATGTCTATGGGGACACCCTGTGAGTGGTCATGTCTGCCCAAATTCTCTTCACCCTTTCCAGGACTCATCGTGTGTGTGTGTGTGCGCGCGCGTGTGTGCGCGCGCGCGCGCGCGTGTGTGTGTGTGTGTGTGTGTGTGATGCTGGAGATTGGACCTAAGGCCTCACACATGCTAGATAAATGCTCTACTAGTGGGTTACATCACCAGCCCTATTTTTACTTTTTATTTTAAGATAAGGTCATATACTGAGTTGTCCAAGAGGCTTTGACCTCGTGAGCCTCTCATCTCAGCCTGTAAGCATCTTTAATGCCAGTCTGTACTACCTGGCCTGGTTCTTGTAGCCTTTTCTGGAGTCACCATGACATATCATGGTCCATGTGTGGAGATAAAGGGGCCAGTGAACCAAGGAGACCACGGGAAGAGAATTCCCATGAAGAATATGGGGTACGGAGGGACAGACAAGGCTGTAGAAATCTTTGCAGAGGAGGGTGGCATGTTGGCCATAGGAGTAGATCTGCGAGGCTAAGAAGGCCCATGCAGCACTGACGCTGGACTGAGGGCAGGGGACTATTTCGGAGGTGATGGAGAATCAGGAGGCAACGGTCCTTTCTCACTAGACTAGGCTCCTGAATAGCATCTAAGCAAGTAGACCTGTGCCTGAGATTACCCCACAGACAAGGCTGCAGAACCGCGTCAGGCCCTCAGATGTGTTTTGTTTGATATTTTGTTAAACATTTTATCAATGTTTTTTAGAATTGGGAAATTTTACATGAAAATCCCCATCTCTGATTTCTCTTGTAAAAGATTTAGCTGGACACAGTGGTATATACTTTTAATCCTAGTAGTCGGGAGGCAGAGGTAGTCAGATTTCTGTGAATTCTAGGCTAGTCAGGACTGTGTACTGAGACACCACTTAAAACAAAAAAGCTTAACAAACGGAGGCAGTCTCCTGCGCAGTAGTATCAGCTGGAGAGCAAATCAGTAATGGCCACCCTCACTCTAGCCACAGACACTATAATATGGGTCAGTCCGCTCTAGGCATGGCATTCACAAATGGCCGTTAGCCAGACTGCACCCCAAGCGTACACATGCACAGTTACAGGGAGGAAAAAGCCAATATACTTGGCATGCACATTGAGGACATGGAAGCCTGTCCTGCCTCACTGTGTCCCCCCAGCCCCCATCAGAGAATCCAACCTCTTCTCAGGATGAGACCAGGCAAGGGCGGAGGGCCAGAGGAAAGTGGCCTGCGGTGGGAATGCTGCCGGCAGGGCTCAGCCTTTATGCTCACCTGTTATCAGTTGGTTCTTTTCCCCAGGAGACAGGCTGAACACATCATTGTTTTCCCCAGTGTCATTCTTATAAAAGGTTTCAATGTCAATGGAGAACTTCTCCACAAAGGGACAGGTGTACCTGAGAGAAAGACCATTCATGGGGACTGAACTCCGGAGGGGCTGTGACTAGCAGCTTGTTGGACCAAAGTGGAAACAAAGTAAGGTGGGTAGGTGGTGTGGTCGATTGAATGAGAAAAGCCCCCACAGGCTCATATATTTGGATACTTGGTCCCTGGTTGATAAAACTGTTTGGGAAGGATTAGGAGGGTGTGGCCTGGTTTGAAGAAGTGTGTCACTAGGGGTAGACTTTGAGGTTTCAAAAGCCTATACCATTCCCAGTTAGTACTGTCTCGCTTTGCTTCACACTTGTGGAGAAGGTTTAAGCCCTCAGCTACTGCTCCAGCAACAAGGATGCCTGCCTGCTGCCATGCTCCCCACCATGATGGTCATGGACTCATCCTCTGAACTGTAAGCCCCAACAAACTCTTTCTTCTATAAACTGCCTTGGTCGTGGTGTCTCTTCACAGCAGTAGAAATGTAACTAAGATAGGCAGGGCTAGCTGAGATGTGACAGTCATGTCTATTTTCTATACTTCCATCTTGTTCTAAGAATAGCTAAGCCAGCTTAGGGGAGAGAGACGGGGATGAGAGCTGCTGAACTTCCTTGGTATGGTGTGGAGGGGATGCATGCAGAGCCACTGGAGTCAGTGGGTCTGGGTAGACACTCCTGGCACATGAAACCAGCAAGAAGCCCCCACTCTAACAACAGAACAGCTCCTATCTGGGATGGAGAAGAGCTCTCTGAAATCCAAAACTAGCTCTCAGCATTTTCCAGGTGTGAGGTTTGTGTGGAAGGGTACTCTCCTAGGAGGAGTACCCTTGCTCAGTAAGAGCTCGCACTGAACTCTGCTGGGGTTCTGAGAAAAACATTGCTTACTATGGGATGTATTAAACACTGCTACAGAAGCTGAGAATCCCAGAGCTGGGAGACCTTGGGCCATCTGGTCTACCTTCAGTTCACACTTCTTCCCAGCAGGCTGTCTCTGTTCATGGGAACTTAGTGAATGCTCATTCCCTGAACTTTCTTAGATGCCAGTCCTTGTTCAAAATCCCTGCCTTCATGACCTCCATTGGCATTTCTGGGAGGCAGGCATATGGGGGCATCTGTCTCTTTCCTGAATGTGACCACCTGTGAACCATTAGGGGACATGTATGAGACAGAGTTTTATACTTTTAGGGGTGCAGGGGTTGAGCCTGCCAGGAGAGTTCCTGGACACATGCTGTGGAGTCCCCCTAGCAGATGGCATGCTGGGGAGGTAGAGGTAAGCACACCTGGTTCGGGTGTAGGGGTAGGCGTTCCAGGACTCCTCCACCACCCGCAAGGCTGCCTTGGGCAAGATGGAGCGAAACCAGCCAGGGATGTGCATGCCCACATGATACACCTTGTGGGTGTACTGGCCAGAGCCACCAGGACCATCTGTGTAGGGCCGATTCTCCAGGATCTCCACGCCACTGTCTTGTCCATAGGTCTCATTGCGGCTTTTCTTCTATGGGGAAAAACATGTTGATGTGTGGTCAAGGTAGAGGAGAGGCTCAGAGGACAGAACAGGAAAGGTCTTTGGTCTTGAGGCTGGCTCTTTCTGTGTCATTTAAGGACACCCCAGCCTCTACACTGTGGCTCTATGAGCCCCAAGCCTCCTGATGGAAGTGAACAGAGTCCTGGGTTTCCTCTAAGTCCAAGTATTAAAAGCACAAATCATCTATTTGACTCCAATCTGTCCTAGGACTGAGCATTCCCAAGATGCCCACTCCCCCCCCTTTCTCCTTCTTCCTCCTCTAGGATGGCCTTAAACTTGAACTCGCTTGATCTGCCTTACTCTGCCTGCTGAGTGCTGGGGTTAAAGGTGAGCACTGCCACATCTGTCCTCTTCTTTCTTTCCTTTTGTTTGTTTGTTCTTTTTTTTCTTTTGAGACAAGGTCACACTGTGTAGCCAGAATGCTCTTGATTGGCATTTCTCCTGAGCCAGCCTCCTGCTGGGATTACAAGTGTGTACCATCACACTAGTGTTGGATACCCACTTCCCTGCTTATACTCAGTTTCGTACTCTTTGTTCCAGACACAATGATTAGGCAGGAAAAAGAAACAATAAAAGGCATCCAAACTGGAAGAGAAAAAGTAAATCATTTCAGTTTGTTGAGAACATAATCTTTATATAGAAAACTCTTAAAAGAATTTTCCTTAAATCTCTTAGGCTTAATTAAATGAATTCAGCAAAGCTTCAGAACACAAAATCAACACACTAAGCTGAAGAACACAAAAAGGAAACTGCTTGCATTTACAACACCATTTGCAAGAACAAACAGAGAGGTGAAAACGTGTACACTGAAGACTACAGAACCAAAAGAAATTAAAGGCCTATACAACTGGAAAACACTCTCTCTCATGAGTTAGAACACTCAATACTGTTAAGGCAAGAATAATCCCCAAAGAAGCTTGCAGGATCCATGAAATTGCCAGGAAATTCTAGTGTATTTTTTTTTGTAGGAACAGCAACCAGATGCTAAAATTCACATGTTATTGCAAGAGACTCCAAACATCTGAAAACAACAACAACAAAAACTAAAGCAAGCTGGGATCTCATACCTCCTTGTATCATAAAACCTTGTACTTGAGTGCTGTACTATATCAGCCAGAAGGTGGAAGCCATCTAACCGACCACGGCTAAAGAAAGGGTACACACTGGACTGGGGAGATGACTCAGTGAGTAAGAGACAAGAGGATGTGGGGCTTGCTGGCTGTCCCAGATGAGAGATCCTGCCTCAAAATAATAGGGTGGAGAGTAAGAGAATAAGAGAAAGGCAACTGATGTTGCCCTCTGGCCTCTGCATGTGAAGAAACTGTTTGCTCAGGACTTCAGGAGTCCTCGGGACACACAGATTTGCTGGGGGCTGAGAAAATTCTGTTTCCAGACCCAGCATTGTTAACAAGGGTATATTCATTTGCTGTGAACCCACTGCAGTGGTGCTTATGATCCATATACTTTCTATATGTGCAAATTGTTGAATTAAAAGTGAAGAATGGGGGCTGGAGAGATAGCTGATAAGTTAAGAGCACTGGTTGCTCTTCCAGAGTTCCTGAGTTCAATTCCTAGAACCCACATGGAGGCTCACAACCATCTGTAATGAGATCTGGTGCCCTCTTCTGGCCTGCAGCCATACATGCAGGCAGAACACTGTATATATAATAAATAAATCTTTAAAAAAAAGTAAAGAATGATGATTTGTGTGCTTGGCCCTAAATGAAATATATACATTACTCTGTCCAAGGCTCAAGGAACATTGTGGAATTGGGGATAGAAAGAATGTAAAAGCCCGAAGATGGGGAAGTGTGTTGCAAAAAGTTGTCTTTGAACACAACAATGTCATTGTGTTCGTGAACTTATTGCAGCCATGGTTGCTACACAAAGCCACTCAAGACTTGGGGAGGGACTCAGCCAGGCCTTTGGCAGTTGATGGTGTCCTGGGGAGGGACTGTCAGCTGTCACTTTCTTCAGTGGTGTAGCCCATACTCCAGTAAATAATTTCGCAAGCGGTCCTAATTAAACTCACTGGGTCACATGCACAAAAGACATGAAGGTGGGAAGGGCCTTATTGGGACTCAGTGGTTTGGAGCAGAAATGAGGCTGTGCCATGGCAAGTGGGTGAAGACAACTAAAATCCATTATGCACACGTATAAAACTATCAAAAAATTAACATTAAAGCCATGAAGAGCCGAAAAACAAAACAGAACCAAACCAACAAAAAAAGTCAGGCGGTGGTGGTGCACATCTTTAATCCCAGCACTCGGGAGATAGAGGCAGGTGGATCTCTGTGAGTTCAAAGCCAGCCTGGTCTACAAAACCAGTTTCAGGACAGTCAGGGCTACACAGAGAAACCCTGTCTGGGGGTTGGGGGGTGGAGGGACACGACTGTGAAGAACAGCTGGGCATGGTGCTCATGCCTGTAATTCTAGCAGAAGCAGGGAGATTTTGAATTCCAGTTCAAAAACAAAACCTCTCTCAAAACAACCATCACCAAAACAAAAAAGTAAAGACAGTTCTGGCAAGACTGCTCAGTGGGTAGGCAGTGGCAGGCACCCTGAGTTCAGTCCCCAGGAACCACATGGTGGAAGGCAGAACTGATCCCTGAAAGTTGTTCTCTGACCTCCACACACATGCCATGGAATACATACCTCCCCAACCCGAAGAAAGGAAAATACTTTTTTTTTGGAGAGAGAGAGAGAGAGAGAGAGAGAGAGAGAGAGAGAGAGAGAGAGAGAGAGAGAGAGAGAGAGAGAGAGAGAGTCTCTCTATGTAGTCCTGACTCACAGAGATCTGCCTGCCTCTGCTACCCAAGGGCAGGGATTAAAGGTATGTTCCACCATGTCTCGCCCAAATAGATGGAATTTTTTAAAAAATAAAGAGAAACCCAGAGACATCCAAGCCAATGAGATGCCTGCCTCCGAGGCACACTGCAAAGCAAAGCTCTGCCGTCACAGACAGCTCCGACCTCTGAGGGCAGCTGGTCCCTATCTGCCTCCGGAAGACAGGGAACACTAGCTTTAGCTTGTAAGTAGGGCGTCTGCAAAGCTCCAAAGCCCACAGATCTCTCAGGTTTGTTTCTGAGAAAGGACGGAGGGTACAGGCTTGGAGGCCCCGGAAAGAGAGCAGTGAGGAGGGTCCCGCTGCTCAGACTTAGTCATTGTTGCTGTCAGTTGGTAGTGAGGACAAGGGACAAAGAAGAGCTAGGCTTGATCTGTAAGGGCTCAGCTGGGGTCACCATGGAAAATACTGGGGCTGAGATGCATGGAAAGAGCTGGGGGAAAGAGGAGTCCCAGAGGGCATGTCAAGTCTGAGCAGTCTGGACCCTAGTTCAGTCTCTACCCCATCCTCAGATGGGTAGAATGGAGCACTCCACATTCTGTAGGTGGGGAAACTGAGGCATAGGGTACTGGATGCAGCTCACTCAAAGTGACAGGTGACTCCCAGACTGCAGGTACTTGGGGCAGTATGGAGACAGAGGAAAAAGCTGCAGATTGCTCAAATCTCAGGAAACACACAGCATCCCCTCCTGTGGGTGGGCCTGTCCTAGACTACTGGTTTGTAAGAGTGAGGGCAGCCATGCCTCAAGTGGCGCTAGCCATTACATATGCCTCACTGTCTCCTCCAGGCTGTGGTCTGAGTGTTTCTCTTCAGAACCCATCTAGGCTGGGGCCAGGCACAGGCTGCCTACAGAGACACCTAGTGATGATGGAGTGGAATTACGTGTCCCTAGCATATGACTAGGGAGACTGAGCACTACGGCCCTTTACTGGGCATAAGCACTGAGGCTGCTGGTCAGGATGTCTACGTCCATGTGACGTTTCTGTACACATATGTGTGAGAGAGAGTCAAGAGCCTATGGATTCAGGGCTCTGCTAGGCAAGACAGTAGGACAGTGTCGTCAGAGCTGCCTGCAGATGGGTGTGGTGTCTTACACCTGTACTCTCAGCATTTGGGAAGCTAAGCCAAGAGGAGTGCTGTATTTGAGGTCAGTTTGGGCTACATATGTGGGGAGGGGAAACCACGGCTTACCGGGAGGACATCTGTCACAGATGGAGAAACAGGAATCAAGTGTGATCCCACTCAGCTAGAATGACAGAAGAGCTGGGGAGGCAGCAGGGGTTTTGGCAGGGCCCCCAGCATCACACAGGGTCACAATCTCCCCAACGGACACAACTCTCTCATGAGCTGCTGTTGACAGCTTACTAGAAATACATTCGCTGATATAAAAGCTAAAATTCTCAAGAAAATGCAGGAATTAGTTTTTATGACCCTGGATTAGACAATGATTTATAAATGTGACCCTAAAACTGTTCAGATTATTTAAAAAGACATCTGATGGGGAGGGGGGCTTGACCTGATATTAGGTGGGACCAATGTTTATTCATTGCAAAGGGGCGCCTTGTCACTCATGTGTGCAGATGGCCGAAATGCTTACAGGGAAGATGGGATGTGGTCCCTTATAGAGGCAGAAATGGGAGGAACTGACTTCTATAGTCCACAGGAAAGCTGCAAGTGTAGTCTTTCAGCAGGAAACTAGCAAAAACATATATCACAAAAGACAGATAAACTGGATTTAATGAGAATTAATAGCATGTATTCAACAGAAAGAAAGTTAAAAGATCTTGTATAATGAGGCTGGGCAGTGGTGGCACACACCTTTAATCACAGCACTTGGGAGGCAGAATTAGGCGGATCTCTGTGAGTTTGAGGCCAGCTTGGTCTATAAAGCTACACAGAGAAACCCTGTCTCGAAAAACAAAAACAAACAAAACAAAACAAAAAATATCTTGTATAATGAAAGAGAAAACTTGCCAATAACATCTAGTGCCAGGAATTTGCACCCAAAATGTAAAGAAAATGCCTACAGCTCAACACCAGACCAATAACACATTCACAAATGATACAAAGACCTAACCAGTCATGTCTCTACAGAAGACATACAAATAGCCAGTGAGTGCCTGAA